TGTGATCTTTGACATGGATTGCTTAATACTGGAGAAGCTTTTATCGTCTTGCTGGATGACGTCATCAACACTAACTTCATTATGAATTGAGCTGTCTATATCTCTCCGTCAGTGATGCAGTAGCTTGCCCTGACCAACTGGTTTGGTTGGTTGTCTCCGTCGATTGTTGCGTCACTCATTGTGTAGTTTTCCCTTTGGATGTTCTTCTGCTTGACCTCTGACCCTTCTGTCATTTATCATTTTTCTCATTGGTTGATAGATTCGGTGTGTGCCTATACATCTATTGATTGATGACTGATTGACTGACTGACGTGAATGCCAAGCTTCTAAGAATTCACTCATGATATTCTTTGTTTCCTCTCTTTATCCAACATTTCTAAATTGTCAAAATCAAATTCATCTCCATAGTTGTTATCTACATACATTGAAAGGAGTGATGAAATGTCGTGACGTTCAATAACTAATTGGTGTTCTCATGTAAACGGAGGTGAAGTTTGGCGACCACTTTGTTCAATGCAGTGTTGGCTGCAGCTATTGCAGTTGATTTTGTAAATGATATTGGGTTTATCTTCTTTGGTTCTCATATTAGTGTTTGAAGGGAGTTTGTTGGTTTATGAAGCATCACACTAATTCCAAGTTTTCTCAGTAGTCTTGTGATTTCTGATATATTCTTTATTATGGTAGGGCGATGCGTCTGTTGATTTCTGTCGATGACTTTGTACTTGACGATGTACGGGATAGGCAATTCCTGACAAAGTTTCGTAGGTAACCGTTCTTCTTCAGGGTGGACATTAAGTAATTTTTTCGTTTCTTCGTGAGGTTGTTGCACCACAGTGCGTTCTCTCTCTCTCTCTCTCTCTCTCTCTCTCTCTCTTGAATAACATCTGTATGCAACTCTTTTTGTGTGAATTTTTGGATTGTTGCTACTGTAGCTGGGGTTCTGATCAGTATGCGTTGGTTTCCTGTTCACTTGGGTTCCCAGTTTTCCGGTATTTGTTCTACTGGCTAAAACATCCAGGAATGGCAGTTGATTATTCAACTCCTCCATTTTGAATTTGATGTCACTGAATACGTTGTTGATCAAACTGTGTTTTCTGAATTACCTTCTTTAATGATGATAAAATTATCGTACACATCGCAAATCAAAATTCCTAAGTTTAAGATGATCTTTGTGCAATCACAGAATAAAAATGTCACTTGTTTTTACTGATAAGCATCCGACATGTCTCTACCATCAAACACCATGGTTCAAGTAAACTTCAGTGACGGCCAATCACGTTCAAGTATGCACTGGCGAATCACAATTGAGAATATGAAGGACAAAGTAGTTATTAGGAAAAATGGCATTTTATTTACAACTTGTAGATTATCCAGCAACCTAATGCACTGCTAAAATCATAATTTATTGTAGGGTTAGATGAGATCCTTTGAAAAGTGATCCTGTTCTCAAAGAATTCCTTGATTTAGCAGGTAGCAAAACGAAAGATTAAACCATTTCTTTTCTCACTGTTAGGTGTACCATCTACTGCAACATCACATTCGCAATTAACATTTCTCGTAGGCAATGCAACTGTCTACAAGTAGCCGAAAATGTAATCTTCATCGTATTTAATTTAAAGTTTGTGGAGTCTCAACAACATTGTAGGCGGAAGTAATGAATGACTCAAGGTTAACCATCACTAAATATAACTTGAACCGGTACCACATTCTGATTTCTAGTGTCTGTCAACGCCAAATAAGTGTGAATTATTTCAAACACCTTACATCTAGAATTCTTCATCTCTATTAGTTTCTTGAAAATAATTTCAGTTATGAAATTCGGATTTGGGGGTTTGTGGAGATGTAGAGATTTTTCAAGTTGATATTCATCATGTATTGACTGACATCAGCCGGAGGAACATTGGAAACATTACCACTGAGCCACTGGGTTGGAATCCAGTGGTCCATATTTCAAACTTCTATCAGATCACGACATGACGCCGCCACCACTAAATGTCATCGTTGAATATTTGTCCTCATGACCACCACGTTTGCCCCACTGGTCACGCTATGTCGTGAACTGACAGAAGTCTAAAATATGGGTCACTGGATTCCGATCCAGTGGCTGGCTCAATGACAACGTGCTGGCCACGGAACCTGAAGGTCCTGGGTTCGATCCCTGTCGAGGCGGGGTCATGTATGTGTACTGCTGAGGAGTCCCATACTAGGACGACACAACTGTTCTGTGCTCCCAGGTTTCTAGTGTTCCTTCAACCGATGTCAGTCCACGATGAATACCAACCCGAAAAATAAAATTGTTCAACTTCTTCACCTTTCGTGGTCTTTATATACAGTCATTGAAATCGCCTCATTCTCCATATACTGTTCACTTCTTACGTAATCCAGGATTGGTTTGTGTTTCCATGCTGACCAGAACTGATTTTCCGAATATTCTATCAAGTTATGTGACTAATTATTCAAATTTAGTCATCTGTATACAACTCTTGGCATATTTTGATTAAACTTTATCAGGCAACATATTATTTGGTCATCACGTTTGAAAAACCACTGCTAACGGGAAAAAATGTGCCAATTTGTGGTCGTCCAGCTTTGCGAATGGAAGTGACAAGAAAAAGACTCTTCTCTGAAGTATGTTTTATTTATTTGTGAGGTGAAGGGTACTAGGCAAGACGGGCAAGTCGATTGATGAGATTGTGAACCTTAGTCAACTTAGATGGCCTCGATATGTATTGCGCATGACCACCTACTGTCCATCTTAACGTTTAGAGGTAAGAGAAGCTGGATTACTTTGGAAGACGGTTGAGAGTGATTAGACCAAGACGTGGCACCAGTAGATAAAATCCCAGACTGTTGGTCTGAGTCGTGTGAGGAGATGTAGGCAGCCTGGTTGGGGTCCTTGAGATGACAGCAACAGTGGTAGAGGACTCTTGGTTAAATGGCTAAAGGTCAGTCACTATGACGCGAATGTATTCACCCATTGACCACTCTTCTGAAGCTTGAATAACTGCACTAACCGTTACCTTCAGATTGTTTATTCTCTCGCACACAACTTTGTCTCCTCCGATATCAGTCCATTATAATCCACCTGCTCTTAGTATATTACTATGGAGTGTGGCAACTTGAGGTGATGCACTTGTATGGAAAGTGCTGTGTTTATTTCACCAGTTTACGTATGAAAGCACTCACAAAAAGTGCTAAAAAACTATTGGTTTTCCTTTCTTTGGTTCATAAGTATATTTTATTTGAACATAAGAAACAAAGTATATTCTCTAGCTAGACTCGATGAGTATAAAAATAGCTTCCATAACCACAGGATGCTAAGGTCATCTCGATAAATGTTGATCTAAATGGAAGAATATAATCTAAGATACTTAAAGGGAACCTAAAAGCTGTTGAATTTTGCAACAAGACAACTTTTTATAAGGAAAGTAATATGTATGGAGAACAAAGTGAAAGTTTTGATCAAGTGTTCAAAGGAAACAACAGAAAGTATCTTGTAATGTTTATTCCATCTTGTATTAAATTTCTGATTCGTAACAAGTTGGCAGAAGAAAGAGGCACGGCAGTGAAGGCGGCACTTCCTTCAGGTGGACGTAGAGAAGACACAGGTGATGAAGATACCCAACCAACAACAACAAACAATCACCACCAACGGGAGAAATCTAAACAAAGTTGTCTCTTTCACCTACCTACCTGGGCAGCATCGTTTCAAGTACAGCCGGAGGCGGTGGCACAGGCACACATGACGATGTCAAAGCCAGCATAGGAAGGACAGCAAGACATGCTTTCATTAATCTGAAATCAGTGTGGAGATCTACTGCACTCAACTCAACACCAACAACAACACCCGGATTTTAAACACTAACGTCAAGTCAGTGCTTTTCTTTGATGGTTGAGAGACCTGGCGCGTTACGAAAAGCGTTCCCAACAAACTACAGGCATACATCAACATCTGCCGCCCATGCTCACTCCATACTGAAGATCAGATCAGAAGGCCATAAAGAATAAGCAAGGAGGAACTCTGGTCTGCCAACGAACCAACCAAGAACCTATCGCCCAACAGATATACATAAGAAGAAAGTGGAGATGTATTGGATTCGACTGGACATACACTGAGAAGATCATTTGAGGACACCATGCGCAAGGCCCTGCCCTCTAGTGGAACACAAATGGGAAACGTTGAGTTGAACGCCCAAGGATGACATGCATAAGATTGTATGAGGAAGAAATGAAAGCTTATGGGTAGTCGAGGAGCTAGGTTAAAAAGGCTGCAGAAAAGGCAGAGAAGTGGTGACGTGCTACTGAAGTCCTATGTTCCACTGGGAGCATAAGGAACAATAAGTAAATAATAATAATAACAATAATAAAGTATATTGGTATTCCCAAGCCTCTCCAAGGCATCAATATACAACTGATTCATGAAATGTATAGCCAACTCTGACCCTTCTCATGGCTCCCCAGCTACTCAGCTGACAGAAATGTTAACATAGACCGTGCAATTTATAAATTATTTGCAAGTTCATCATCCTATTTAAGGCGTACCGATCCATGCAAATGAGTTGGCAGATTCAGATGATGCGAACCAATTCGGCACTATGAACTGAGTGTGTCCGGGCACACCACTTATGAGCAGACTCGACAACAAACAAGCAAAACTTTCATTCAGCGTGCTGCGTAGATCACTCGCAGTTGTTAAGCTGGCGAAATCTGCAGGTCAGACTTGGTAGTTCTCAAATACTCATATTATTCAGTAGTATATGTCTCCAAGAGATGCATTATAGCAAGAATGGTTTTAGAAAACATCTAAAAATATGCGCGATAGGACTAAAATTCCTAGCATTATGTAAGTAATACTAGTAGTTCTCTTTGGGTTCCGTTAGTTCTTGGCTGAATCCCAAATGACATGCAAGTCAGCTTGCCTACTTTGTAAGTAGAAGTGAAGATTACTTGTTAATTTGTAAAGTAACGAATTTTCAATCCAAAAACTTCAAGTGACTTACGGGATTCGGGTAAAGGTTGCATACAGGTGTTCGGCGGTTTAGTAGCATCAAGTATATTGCTCCATGGGTCTGGTGGCTTTGGGTACTGAAAACGCAGGTCACCTATGGGCGGCTTTGCAAAAGGAATTCCAAGAAATTGATAGACATTTTTTCCGTGTATGTACTTCTGTTTCCCACTGACTGCTCCATAATTTGTACGGACTACAATGTGATCTGCCCATGAAAATATAGGTAACAGTTGTAAGCATGAACACAATATTTTTAAATGCAGCGAAAGTACTAAAAACATAATAAGGTCCCAATCACACCCATTTAATCCCAGGAACAACTGACCGCCCATCTAAACTATCCATCGGACGATGTATATACTTCCAGGATAGGCTAGAGATGCGGCAATTAGCCAATCAGAATAACAGGATGAGCAACAAACTGTCGGTGAAAAACAGTGCTCATTCCGTGCACTTAGACTTTTGAAATAACTTAAAGTCATCTTGTGGAAATTAATTTATGTCATCTGACTCCAAAAAACACATATTTGAAAAATGTAATGAAATTTGTTTAAATTCCTACCTATTTTAGGCGCCTGACTCAAAGTCAACGCAACATGGTAAACGTGTTTGATAGATTACCATATTTTTCTAGCGACCTATCATTCTCAATGGGCACGAAAGGCCTATCACTAGAATCATATATAACCGTGATGGAGATCTCATCTTTACTGCCGCCAAAAATCAAAGTGTTTGTGTCTGGTACAGTGTAAACGGAGAAAGACTGGGTACTTACGATCAACATGAGGGTGCTGTATGGTGGCTTGATGTAGATTGGTCATCTTCTACGCTGTTGACTGCATCTGCAGATTGGTCTTGTAAGATTTGGGATGTTCAAACAGGTGAGTACTTGATTACAACACTAGCTTTTTCTCAGGTAAATGCACTGGGGTATACACGACAAACAATCCTGTTAGAACCTGCGGTTTCTCATACTGTGGAAATTTGATATTCCTAACCACTGATGATACTGGAAAGAAGGATTGTCAGATTATCGCCTTTGATAAGCGTGATCCAAGTCATGTAAGTATATCCATGGAATGGTTTATTTACTGCTAAGGCATGGATTTCTTTCTGATATTTTACTGTTTTCTCATCTGAAGTTCCGTGATGAATATCAAACGCAGGCGTGAATTGTAGCGTTTTGCCCTCAGTCATGTAGGCAAATTTCCCAGCCAATAACTTAAAGTAGACCAACACGTGTAGTCAGCATAACTGTGGGATTCTCGAACGGAATTTCTCTGTACGCTTATTGTTATCTTCACAACCGCGAAGCACTACATAATAAAACCTGTGTGTATGTATATATACTAAACTCTTGAAATTACTACAAACCTCATGTTAGCAAACCCATTAATGACATTTTCATGATAAGCCTAAGCAAGCAAGCGTTTCTCCACAGGTTGTAGGAAGCAATCATGACCAAAACACCATCGTATTGAGTGCATTTCTCTATCGCAATTAGTTTCCAGGTTTAAGGATTGGAGGTTGAGTAGCCTGTATTAATTCTGGTAGCAGAAATCTGTGAAGATCCAGTTTCTCTTTAAAAGCGTCTACTCAAACTCGCTTCAGCGGTACATATACTAAAATTGGAACAATAAAAAGAAGATTAGCATAGCCTCTCTGCAAAGATAACGCAAAAAATCCTGAAGTGTCCTATATTTTATTACGGTTGCAGGGTTTTGATCATATGTGTCTTCGCAGCATTGCTCGCCTTTGTAGTGGAATCAGCGAGTGAGCAATTTTGAGGTCAGACGAAAGTTACTCGGCAAGACAAGTAAGAGGTTGTGAACCTGATTCGACTGAAATGGCTTCGATATGTATTGCGCATGCCGAGCCGCCACCAATCTCGACGTACCATGTTAGCGGAAGTTTGATTAGGATGGAAAAGAGCTCAGTAGTCAGACAAAGACGTGGCACCAACCAATGAAGTCCCTGTCTGTTGGTGTGAACCGCATGGGAAGATGTAAACTGCCTGGTTGAGGTTCTTGAAACGGTAAGAATCAGTAATTGAGTGTTTACTGTTGGTGACATGGCTGAAAATTGGTCACAATATTACAAATGTATTCACTCGTTGACATCTAAAGCTTGAATATTCACAATAACCTTTGTCTTCAGATTATTTATTCTCTTATAGTACTCTGTCTACCTTGATATCACTCCTTTTCTATCCATTTGTTCCTTGTTTACCTCTGTGAAGTATGGCGACTTGAGGTGATGCACATTTGTGCGAGGTTTTACGTTGATTTTGTTGGTATCAGTCAGTCACTAAAGATCAGCTTCCCTAATTCGGAGCAACAGGTTCCAGCCGCTAACCAACTTACAGGAGATTCTAAATTCCACTCAGTCCATTCGATCTTGGCTTTTAAACTTTTATGGTGACCTGTTAAATAATCACTCCTAGGAGTAAAAATATTTGAGGTATCAACACCCAAGTCACTATTCAACATACTATACACTAATATAATCTCTCATTTTCCTGTGATACGATAATGGAAAAAGATTCAGGTTTTCCGACAGCTTTTCATGGGGAAGATGCGAAAATCCTGCCATTAACGTAGTAGCCATTCTTTGTACCTGTTCTAGAGTATCTGCTTCTTGTTTGAAGCAAGGAGTAGCTGCCTGTGTTTAGTATTCTAGTTGAGGTCTTACATAAGTAGGATAAATCATCCTAAATATTTCTTCATCGTAACACCTAAAGGACCTACAAAGCGGAATGCTTTGGCCCCAGCTACGTTACGTTGTGCCGTCGTTTTGAAGTTATGGCTGATATCAACCCTAGATCTTTTCGTTTGCTTACGCAAGGGAATATTGACGTATCTAATGAGTAAGGATAGCGCAGCTCTTAACTGGTGTGCATTACTGCACTTTTGCTACAGTTGATTTCCAGGCTCCAGTGTTTAAATCAGTCAGTTCATATAAATTTGTCTGGATTATTATCTTGTCTCTTTTTTCATAAACGTTATCTACAAATAGTAAGGATGATGACTTTAGCGTACCTGGCAGTTCGTTACAATAAAATAGGATCAAAAGAGGCCTCAGTGCAGGTATTGTCTAGACCACTCTTACTTGCTGATTTCTTCACTGAAACCTACGAGCTTTTTAACCAAGCCCAAATGGAACACCTTATCAAACCAGTAAACACTACATCAACAGGCAGTTTTTTATCTCTTGCTTCCACCTGTTCTTCCCTGGCTAAAAGTAAGTTTGCTAGGCAGGAGCGTTCAGGTTGGAAACCGTGTCGCTCGTGTGCCAGTAAGTCATGTGTTTCCACTTGATCCAGTAATTTGTCCCTGAATATTTTCTCTAAAACTGTCACCAATATAAAAGTCGAACTAACAGGACGATAGTCAATAACTAGTTGCCTGTTACCATCTTTGAAAATGAGGCATACAACGACGTGTTTCCACTCGAGCCAACCGGACCTGTTAGAGAGACAAACTTAATATCTCTTAAAGGTGCGTGGATAATGTCATTCCAGGTCAGTAACAGCCTCAAGTGTAAACCATCAGGTTCCACTGACTTACCAGGTTCCAGATCATTTAACAGACGAAGTATTTCTGCACTGCACCGGCGTAGGAGCCATTTGTAGCACTTCAGTCATGACTATACTTAGCACCTATACTTCACAATCTACCGAAAAGATTTTACTGTAGTAATTCCATGCATTTTCATTTTTATCCCTTTTCAATTCTGCTAAGACATCGAAGGTTTCACTCGGATGTAGACTGAATATTCCATCATGCTTTGCGGTCCTGGGCGTAATATGTGAGTAAAGTCTTTTAGGACAAGGAACATGGTCATACACTAATTGCTTTTCACACATTGAGGGGTTTTAGACTAGAAACGATTGGTTTTTTGTTTGAGTCTTTTTTTAACAGATGGACATTCGCTTGAATCCACAGATGGATGGTGATGTATTTGGTAAAGATCGTCTATCAAGGGTAGAGTGTACTATGCTGCAGTCCGCTCTTTTCTACTATATGGCTTCGAAGCATGGGTATTAAGGGTAGAAGACATGAGAAGGCTTCAGGTGTTTGAACACCGTTGCCTTTGTAGGATGGTCCATGTTTCGTGGTGTCACCATATGAGCAACGCCTGACCGATAGCTTTTACCTCAATGTGGTGGTTAGGCTTGTATATCACGATGACCCAATGAACTATGTTCGTGGGATCTTTGTTCCCTCGATGGACTACCATACCGAAAAAGTCTATTGGATAGTGGTTAGACAAAAAGCCGTTACCCTTACCCTTAAAATGTTCTTAAATAAAGAGATGATGTATTATCATGGCTTAGATCAGTGGTTGGTCTTGATACGAAACCACAGGACGTATTTACGACCACCTTCCATAATAAAAGACAATTTCTCGTGGCAGGTATCTGAACACAACACCATCACTCATCGAGAAGAAGCATGGTGCCGTCTCAAGTCTGCTGTAAAAACACCGTTGAAGACCGTAACCGACTCTCAAAGAGTGATTATAAAGAGCCATTAGATATCAGTAGCTTGTTAGCAATTAATGGATGCATGTGAACGCATCTCATATGTACACTGACAATAAGTCTACGCAATGACCGCGAACGCTTGTGTGCAGCGAGGGTTAAAGAGATGGTAAAGGCAGCGGCGATAGGTAACAGTAGACAAATTTTTAGACTTATTGAGGAAACTGGGGTGAAAAGGTCAACGGCTAGTGAAGCTATAGGGAAGACGACTGGAACGATAGGCAGAACACTTCGAGTAACTGTTCAACTGTCCTCCAGCTACCATTACTTTGCTTGCTATCTAGTCGGGTCCCGAATGGAACATTGAGATAGGTCTCCCAACACTAGCAGAAGCCGCTAAAGCGGCAGGTAACTTAAAACGAGGAAGGGCAGCAATTCCAGACGGACTAGTTCCCGAGTTATACAGTGACGGTGATAGAGTGTTTTTAGTCAAATTAACTGAAATGTTAACTTGTGTATGGCAGTCAGATATGATCTCCTCTGACTGGTCTAGATCACTGGTTATCCCAGTTTACAAGAAAAACGAGTTCTCCCGTACGGTGTCTAAGATTCTACGTTCTATAATCATGAGACGCCTGGGTGGAGCTTGGGAACAGCAAACCCGAGAAAACCAGGCAGGCTTCAGACCTGGCCGTGGGTGGATGTATCCACCAAATACTCACACTCCACCAGTTCTGGAACACAGACGCTTACCGACGCCCAACAATAGCCGTATTTCTCGACCTGAGAGCGGCATTGGATTCCATCCAATGTTCGGTAAACCTTATCGTATTCTTACTGAGATTCCATCAGACATAAAACTGCTAGATAAACGAAGTAACCAACACTTCCAGTAATTCAACGTCTCACTTCCAAACTCGGTATTGTTGCTAATCAGTCTTGCAGAATTTTTCACTTGGTAAATGGATAATTTATCTCAAATATTCTTACATTGTTACTGAGGGTGTTCAGGAGACTGAATTTTTTCCACTGTTGACATCTAACAGTGTTATATCACCTGTCCACCCCAAGTCAGTTGGAACTTTTCTGTTTAGGTGATGTATGAACGACGAAACGAAATCGTATTTCACTCAGCAACTTTGTGCACATTTGTGCAGTAGGCGATAAACCGCACACCTACTGTATGATAGCTAATGATATTACCTACCTGGCTGCCCAAACCTCGCTAGGTGGGGGGGGTTTGAACTCGCGACCCGCTGGTTGATAGTTATCTCCCTTAACCATTGAGCCACGACTCCTTAGGTAATATATATTCATATTTATGACAAGGTTTAGAAATTGCCTGTTTCTTTTGATATTTTCTTGGATAATAAGACTTTAGGAACTCATTATGACTCAGTTTCATCTTATTTATCTTGTTGAGATATTCGTCAGCTGAAATTTAAACTTACTACCACTATAACTGTTATCCCGACGATCCACTATTAGAATAGTCTCGGTTGCTTTCTCTTAGAATAGATCACTGACTGATCTTTCTCAACGATGATCTTTGTATCTGCCACCGTTATTTCAGTTTATT